GGGCTCCCGTCTGCCGGAGGGGTGGTGGCGGTGGGGGGAGCGGTTTGGCACTGCCGTGCCCCAGTGCTGGAGTCCGGCTCTTGTGTCGATCATGATGATTAGCTGAGTCACAGCTGGGGTGCTGCTAATTAAATGTATTCCTTAATTAACAAGATCACAGAGAAGGCCTGCCAGCCCGGCTTGGCTTTCAAACCCCGACTGACGGGGGCGGCTCCAGCCGCAGAGGTACCGCCTGGCCTGAGGTGTGATGAGTGTCCCAGTGCTCAGCTCTGCCCCACAGCCGCCTCCGCTGCCCTCCCACCCCGGGAGCCCATTTCCCCGTGCAGCAGCGGCGTGAGGATGAGGGGGGCTCGTGCCCGGCATCATCCAGCCCCAGCTGAGACGAGCAGGGCGGCCTCAGCCCCTGCCTGTTGTAGACCTGGGGTGCAGCGAGCGCGTCGGTGCTCAGCACAGGGCTGAGCCACCCCCTGCTCCTGTCCCGTGACTCAGGGCTGCTTCATGTCCCCCCCCTCCGCCACCTGAGCCCTGACCGAGCCTGGCTATTAATATTAATAATAACCCCCCGCAGCTGCTATTTGCTGACCTCAAAGCACAACCTGAAGTAACCCCGCTCCCTTGATGGGGAAATCTCTGGTCCCCACCGGATGGGGAAACTGAGGCACGGGAACTGGGGCAGGAGCAGTGCCAGGAGCTTTCCCTGCTCCTCTATAGGACCTGGCCTGGAAGATGGGGCAACAAAACCCCGGGGAGCTACCCACGGCGACCCACGGATGGGTGAGCCAGAGTGGGCGGGGAGGGTTTTTCTGGCTGCGAGAAAAAATAAAGAAGACAAAAAATATATAAAAATACATAAAAATAAACAAAAATAAATAAAAGAGCCCATTCTGAGCCCCAGCCTGAGCTCTGGCCCATGTCGATGGGCTGATATCCCTGCGGGAAGCAGAGGCTGAGCTCTCCAGAGGGATTTCGCACGTCCTCGTGCGCCGGCGTGGGCAGGCAGCGGCGCTGGGGCTTCTCCCGG